TTGGTGAGAGATCTTTAAGAAGTGATTTTTTTCAAGTTTTGCCCAACTCCAGACTTCTGATATAAGAGGGAAGAAGATATAAAACACAAATACCAATGTTTCTCCTTTTATCTTTGCCATTCACACCCTTTCTCCCTCCAGTCCTCCTTTCTTTCTTTCCTTCCTTTCTTCTCCTTTTTTTCATTCCATCCTTTTGGAAGTATGTAGTGAACATTTTTGTCACTAGATATTAGTGCTAAACACAATCTTCAAATTCAAGAGAGATATTGCTAGCTGAGTTTCTCTGATTAAGTTATTTTTAGATGCAGAGTGTAGTTAAGAGTTTAGTATATTTATGAGTATAGAAGAGCTTCTTAGAGAAAGATGTATATTTCTCATGTAACATTCTTCCTCCATTTGCTTCTATTAATAAATTTAAGTAGACAGTTGTGAATCTGACTTTTTTAAAAAAAAGTGTCAATGAAGACAAGTAAGGAAGAAATAGCACTTTTAACAAGACATGATACTAGCATACCAGCATATGAATACTAGCATAATAGTGTTGACAATAGTCTGAATTCCTTCTCTCTTTCTCTGTCTCCATCCATCCCTCCCTCTCTCTTTCTCTTGTTCCTCCATCTATAAAAGAGGCAAATAATTATGTCTCAATTATACATGGGTTTATTGAATCCAAATACTATCCTGGCCCAGGAAAACCAAATATACAAGCCTATAGTATTATATATGTTGATATGTTAAAACAAAACAAGTGTCCTAAATGTTTTGTTTGTCTACTTTGAAAAATCAAGACTCTGAGAGCATTAAACACGGGAGAACAAAGTTAAGGCAGTAATTTTCAATATGTAAAAATCCCAAGTCTCCAGCATTTTGGTTTACAAACCCAAATCCCAACTGGTTTTTCAGCCTTTGTGAAGTTTGATTAGAATGATTAAATGGGTTTTAAAGAACAATGTAAACCTCCCAGGTTGAGGCCACACAGCCCAGCCAACGTGTTTCTTCTAGATGCCCTCTGAGAAGAGGGTTTCAGTTTACATGGAACACTGGCCTCTGAGACCAGAGAGCAAGTTTGCTTTTAGCAAGTCTGTGTGATAATCATGATATTGAACCTGTTAGTCAATGGTATGGCTTTTATTCCTCAATAGGCTTTTTGTACATGAGATGCTCATTAAAAAGTCACCTTATTTGCTGACTTTCTCTTTGAGAGATTTGTTTTCCCTGGCTTTGAAATGTAGTGAAACCCTTTTTGAGAAAAATCCTCTCTCTTCGGTAGATTTTTAGATACACCTGGATCACATCATGGTCCCTGAAACATAACAACTGTACAGACTAACATAGTGGGACAACATTAGCTTTAATGACAATAGGCACCATCCTCCAACTACAGCTATGATGCTCATTTCCATTAGACAACAATTTCTGTCTTCCCCATTCCTATTCACTATGGGATAAGCCAAACAATCTTACTGTTGTTCTCAAAGATCACATCACATACTGCTTTTCTACCAGGATATTTTGTATAGATTTAAATTTACTTTGCATAATCATTCTACTCAAGGGAACAGATGAATGGTGATGGAGTATTTGTGCATTAATGGATCTGCCTGTCAGAGGGACTAACTTGAAGGAAAACTTTCCTTTAAGGGTTTAATTTTGTTCAAAGTCATAGAACATTTATGAGCATCTCATTGGTGGAGGGCACTTACAATCACCTTGACGTCTCCTCTCAAGAGAAGTTACCTGCACTTTTACAGATGAAATTGGATGGAAGTCCCTAGGGGACCCACTCAACATCATTAATACAAAATGGCAGGGCAGAGATTAGGATCTATGCTTTCCATAGGAGACACTGTTCCTTCAGGGACATTTCCCTCCCTCCACGAGACCGCTCTCTGAAAGGCACTGTGGTGTGTTGGACCCTCCTGGCTTTCACTTACTTCAACTCATGTTCTAATGACAAAAGGTGATGCAGTACACCAACTCTGACCATAAATAGTTTACTGATGAAGACATTCGAAACTAATGAACAGCTCACAGGACCCACTTGACCGTTAGATACAGGTCCTAAAAGCCAGGAGATTTCCTTTTGTCCTGGGAAAGCAGCTGAATCAGTTACAGTTTCAGTTTGCTAAACTGCTTTCTCTAGTAACAGATGCTCCTACACTAAGAAGAGGTAGCATTGTTAAAGTAACAGCCCAGCCACAGTCTTTGGCATTAAACAGAACTGGGGTCAAATGTTAGTTTTGTGTGTGACCTGGAATTAGTCATTTAACATTTCTTAAAGGAATAGACTTAGCTTCTCATCTACAAAATAAAAGAAATAATAATGCCCACTTTTTCAGGCTGCTGTAAGGTTTGAAGTGACACATGTGACTGACTTAACCCAGTGTCTGGAGTATTTTAAATGCTTAATAAATTTGATCTAACATTACAACCACATAGAGTTTGGGTTAATTCACAGAACTATTACATTGGAAAGGCAGATGTCTATCTATCTATCTATCTATCTATCTATTTATCTCTGTCTTATCTATCTACCTATCTATCCATCTATCTACCTACCATCTATGGCATATATGTGTACATACTTGAGATATGTAGTATGATATAAACTATTATTTATGTTATTTATCTCTTTTTATTGGGCAGATTGAAATAAAAAAGGAAAGTATTTGGTTATATTGTTATAACTGTCACAATAGCTCAATTTAAGTTTTTGTTGTTGTTTTGTATATGCTGGTCCTGGAGCTTGAACTCGGCCTGGGGACTGTTTTTTTTTTTTTTTTTTTTGCTGAAAGCTAGTGCTCTACCACTTTAACCACAGCTCCACTTCCAGCTTTTTGGTGGAAAATTGGAGATAAGAGTCTTGTGGAATTTTCTTCCTTGGCTGGCTTTGAATTGGGATTCTCAAATCTCAGCCTCTTGAGTAGCTAAGATTAAGCCTGTACTCAGTACCAGTGATACTGATACAGTATCACTGTATCAGGTAGTCACTAACTCTAAATCTAAGGGATGGTAAGGGGAAACAAAGGAGGAGGCAACAATGTTTGATAAGAAATGTACTCATTACCTTGCCCAGTAATTTATAACCCCTCTGTATGGTATTTTCACACACAAAAAAAGTACAAAAAAAGAAAAAAAAAGATGGTTTGTACTGCATACAAATAAAAAATTTGAATAAATGTTAGAAGATTCTGAAAAGACGCTTCACAAAAAATAAACTTCAATAGCCACATGTATATTAAAATTAGTCAACCTCAGAATCAGTCACAAAAAAAGCCACAACAAATGTGTGTGTGTGTGTGTGTGTCTGTGTTTGTTTGTTTGTTTGTTTTTGCCGGTCATGGGGCCTGAACTCTGGGCCTGAGCACTGTCCCTAAGCTCTTCAGCTCAAGGCTAGCACTCTACCACTCAAGCCAGAGTGACACTTCCAGCTTTTTCTGCTTATGTGGTGCTAAGGAATCAACCCAGGGCTTCATGCATGCAAGGCAAGCAGTCTACCACTGAGCCACCTTCCCAGCCCCAACAAATGTGATCAATAAAGCGGCAACAATTAAAAGAAAGTAAAATACAAACAAGTGATTCTGATATAAGTTACATATTTGCATTAAGCTAACTTTAGGATGATTCTTAACATACAGAACAATATATACTAAATTTTCTTCATCCAGGAAAGTGGAAAGCCAACATTTTTATAGAAGGTAAATATGTAGTGCTATGTATATGCACAAGTGTGGATATATTAGTGCATTTGGGAATTGGAACAGAGGCTTCAAAAATTAGGAAACTTGGGGCTAGGAAGGTGGCTCAGTGGTTAAAAATGCTTGCCTTGCATGCCTGAGGCCCTGGGTTCGATTCCTGAGCACCACATAAGCAAAAAGAAAAAAGCCGGAAGTGGCGCTGTGGCTCAAGTGGTAGAGCGCCAGCCTTGAGCTGAAGAGCTGAGGGACAGCGTCCAGGCCTAGAGTTCAGGCCCCATGACCGGACCCAAAAAAAAAAATTAGGAAACGTAACTACTTCATAAACAATGTTAAAATATGATTCAAAGGTAAGTAAGCAAGTTACACCAGAAAAATCTGTGAATGAAACAAGCTCTTGAGGTGTCTGAAAATATCTTTATGCCAGGTTGTAGAGCAACCATGATTTCCATTCCAGGGACAAACACTGGTGATTTTTGCAAGGTTTTTTTCTTCTCTCTTTGCTTTAGATGAACTGATTGACAGGTGACTGTTTTTGGCATGGAACAGGAAATTAGTCATGTAAAAAGACGGGGACTAGAATTATGAATTGGAATATTCATGTATTTTTCTTTAAGTTTAGACTTAATTTTTTTTTCTTTTGCCAGTCCTGGGGCTTGAACTCGGGGCCTGGGCACTGTCCCTGAGCTTTTTTTGCTCGAGGCTAGCTCTCTACCACTTGAGCCACAGTGCCACTTCTGGCTTTTTCTGTGTATGTGGTACTGAGGAATCGAACCCAGGGCTTCATGTATGCAAGGCAAGCACTCTACCAATAAGCCACATTCCCAGCCCTAGACTTACTTTTCAGTAGCTATATAGATATAAGTGCTTTGTGAGCTTAAATTAATGTCAAAGGTAATTTTAGTAACTTTAATTACAATATGGAAAGAAAATCTTTATTATTCCTTCTCTGAAATACTATTTTACGTATTACCAGAATGTGAGAATATTTCTTTGATTACTAACACAGAGAGCTAAAAGCCAAATAGGACCAAAGTGTGTTCATTCATTTTGGAGCTTGCTCCAGGGGAGTCTTTGAGGGTGAAGGGTTTTGTAGATGCCTCTTTGCCTACAATGAAAAAGCAGGGAGGAAGAATCTGTTAAAACATGCAGAAAATAGCCATTAAAGGACAAAGGGGTTATTAAAACAATCTTGATACCTCATCTGCAATCTAGAATGTTCTAACTTGCAGTGTATCCCTTAGTGCAGGACTTATAAATAAATGTCAGGTAGAGAATGACATGACTTCCTCTCTCATTTTGCAGAAAGCAGAAGCCACTGGAGAAAAACGGCCAAGAGGCAGACCTAGGAAATGGGTGAGTGATAAGATATCATTTCTGTTCTGGTGAAGAAAAATGTCCCTCTTTTTTTTTTTAAGAAAGAAAAATTCATTTTAGTTTCTGGATGATACAAATTCTTCAAAGTTCTGGTTTGATGAGCTTTTGAAAGGGTCAGACAAGTGGCAGACACTCTTCTTACTACCATGGTATCCCCAGGTTTACTCCAAACACTTTCTTTTCCTGAAGGTGACTCCCATTTCTGTCTCTTATCAACATCAAAGGAATCTCCCCTCTTCCGGCAGATGGAGTAACAAGGAGATCACTTGTTCTACTGGTAGAGTAACTAGGGTTAAAGGTATTCTGAAGCCTTGGTAGTTAATTATAAATGGTGATAAAACCCAGATGAAATGTAAGGGAGTTAACTTTTTAATGCTTTCTTTTGTTGGTTCCTCCGCAGCTTTGTTAAATACTTCTCACTTACAAGGTAGTTTGTGTTTTCATTTTCAATTTTTTTTTAAATTTAGAAAGGGGTTTGATTTCTAGTTCTTGCTTCTCATCGTCATTCTCCATAGACGCACATTGAAGACAGTTTTACACACACACACACACACACACACACACACACACACGCTGAATCCTGTGTAGAAGCCAGATATCCAGTTGTAATAATAGAACTTCACTTATGTTCTCTTTCTTGCCACATTCTCCATGTTCTTTTGTCCTGTTTTTCCTATAGAGGAAAAGAATTTTTTGTTTTTTGGTTGTTTTTTTTCCAATAGAGGAGAAAAGTCTTAAAAACAAACAAGACTATTCTTAAGAAGTTCACAGGGAACCTCTGTACTTAGTGTTTTCTTTAATGGGTTCTTTGACTTCCTTTCTCTAGATTTGCATGCTCTGCCTTTTCATACCTCTTTCTGTACATATTTTCTGTTAGTTTTGTTATTCCTTTCTCTGCCTGAGTTCTGCATCATGATCTGTTTACATTTTGGTACAGCTTTGCATTTTACTTAATCATCTTGGATTTTTCTTTTCTCTGCTGGGATTAGATATTGCAGGGATGATCTTTAGATTAAAAGCCTCTCAATGTTGCAGTATACCCTGAAAGTCAAGGCATTTCCTTCAGCCTGATGTTCAATAAATGAATTCTCTCCAAACCTACCCACCTTGTCATGATTGAATAGTGTTATGCCTAATTACCTCAAATGTTAGGGAAATCACTGCTACCTCTTAAGGCTACCTTCTCTTTCCTGGAACGCTCAGAATATTAGAAAGTCTTCTATCTGACTCTCTATGATTTCTGCCCATTGTCTCTATCTCTTCTCCCACTGCCTGGTCCTACACAGAATTTTTTTTTCCATTTTCATTCTTGTTAGCCCTTGGAATATTTGAGGACAACTAACACAAATTCTTTGTTTTCTTTTCTGGTTTGAGTATATCCAGTCCTTTACAATTTTTCCTCCCATAAAGGAACATTCTTGTTAAATATTTTTCTGAGCATGTTTGTTTTTAAATCTTTTTGAAATGTGCCACTCAGAACTAAATATAATATTCTAAGTGTGGGCTCTTGTATGAGTGGTCTTATTACCTTTATGGTTGTACATATAGTTGTTTATCTAATGTGGCTTAGTTAACTGTTCCAGGAACTTCATAGTGTAAGATTCAACTATTATATAGTGTTCATGAATTTTTTTGAAGGGGGTTTAAGGATATGTATGGATAGGCCAGAGCAGAAAGGCCTGTCTTTGTTCCAGGATGTCTAGGAGACTCCAGCACACAGGCATGACTTCACACGTGGAGTCTAGAAGTTGGAGGCTTCTACACATATAGGTCTGGTCTTTTGACTGGCTGGAAGAAGTCTGGATTGTCCGGAAGTGTCTGCTGTATTACTCACACAATCAGGTTGTGTGTGGTAGTGTCTCTAAGTGTAGTTACCTTTGGATCTTCATTCAAGGTTCTCAAGACAGTGTTCTGGTAATTGAGAAACTGGGAGGCTTTTTTTTTTTTAATTGTGAAAATACCGTACAGAGGGGTTACAATTACATGGGCAAGGTAATGAGTACATTTCTTATCAAGCATTGTTGCCTCCTCCTTTGTTTCCCCTTCCTATCCCTCCCTCCCCGACCAAAGTTGTAAAGTTCATTTTTTGACCTAACGTCATATATATCTCATTGTTACAATGGGTTCACCTGTATCCCTATTTAAACAATTTGTTTTTTCTATTCCCTTCCACAAATTATACTTCAATCTCACAATTAAAAAATTGTCATTTCCATTATGGTCTCATGAGTGCATTGATGTAACTAAGTTGATAATGACGACATACCAAATGAATACTCTTGTCTGAAGCATCAGAATGTTCAAAGGACATCCTATCCCATTGATGAATTGGTAAGAAAGACCTGTATGATCTTTCTAATAGGCAACAGAAGAAACAACAGATGAGCTTGTTGAAGTCATAGGATTACTGTAGCTAAAACAAAACAAAATAAATTATAAGCAAATGCAGTGAAAATTAACCATCCAAATGCCCTCCATCAAATGTGACCTCTAATGTTTCTACCTTGCATTTCTTCTCCCTTTGGGCTATCATCTAATGTAATTACATTACTACACTTCACAGAACCTTATATAATTCCAGAACTGGCCAGTGAATACATTGCAACCTGCCTCAGTGCTTCAGAGGCCTCCATCTTTCCTCCTGGTTCCAATTTTAATAGCTGTATTTCTTACCTCTCATCCTTACCTTGCTGGTGTCTTACCAAGTTACAATATAAAACAATTAAGCATGCATAGGTTTCGTTTTGACTTTATTTGGCAGATTCACGCTTAGTTAGGAGAAACCTAGATTCCTGGCATCTGATATTCATTTTTTAAAATACATTTCCTCATAAGCAATATATAAATATGCAAAAACTATTAGAAGGGCCCTTTAGGTACTTCATGATCCTAATCCTCTGTCTTTTATTGCTATCAGTTTGTTGGATATACTTCTATTCCATTTTCTGTACACACATACACACCATCAATTCACAGATAAATATATGCCAATAATGATATATTCTGGGGCATAAGTTGTTTTCCTAACATAAAAGCTAACAAGCGAAGCCCATGTGAAAGTTCCTCACAGACATCATAGCCTGCCTGGGAAGAGCTGGGCGATTCTCATTGGCTATCTTGGTTTCTAATTTTTACTGGCTGTGAGAATGGAAAATTTCATGTGGTGAACTGTTGCAAATCTCTGATTTGGTCTCTAAAGCAGATTTGTTCTACTTAGAAGAGGAAATAAAAGGAAATTGTATATTTTTTCTAGACAACATGTTTCCTCTTGGCTTGGGTATCTTCTGTGCGTAGAATGGACATCCAGTCCCAGCAAGGCATTGTATTCCATGGCATTCTTTGCTACAAGGCTTGTACTGAAGAAATAAATCATTGCGTTTTCCATAGGAAATGGGTTTGTAATTTCTAGTGAGTTCAATTCTTTCCAACAGTGTCATTCGCTGATTTCCTTGAGTTGGGAGATATATTTTTGAACTGACTGAATTTATTAGGTATATGACATAGAAGCCAAATATTTCCCCTGTTATTCTTGTAGGGTCTTTTTTTTTTTGTCTAAGTTCTTTTAGAAATATATCCTGTAAATCTTACAGATTCATGTGACAAGTCTAAAAGAAAGAAAAAAATGTTTATGCTGGAAACCTTTCATTGAATGATCCGGAAGAGTGATTGGGAGTTTAATTAACTGAAGACTTAATTGTAGGTGCGAGTCCTGATTCTGCTGTGGGCGGAAACAGTAGCCAGTCCACAGGTTCAGTGGACATGGTAAAGATCACTTCTATTATTTACTTTCTGCCCTTTCTTTGTCTTTTCCACCCTAGTTAGAGTTAGATGCCTGAACTACTATTATGATTGGATTATTCTATTGTTATTTTTTTCAGTTTATGTGTATAGAAGAAATGAGAATGGAAAGCAAAAACAAGACTTCAATTTTCTTCTGGTTTCCTTAGAATTTGGAGCTCAGTATCTGCATTCAGATGGCTTGGGTTCAAACTCTAACTCATCACTTAGCTAGCTATCATCTTGAACAATTGGCATGACCTTTTAAAAGTCTTGTTTCTCATCTATGAAAGGTAGATTTCTCATAGGATCCTCACAGAGCTTAAATAAAGGGCATGGCACACTGTGTCAATCATTAGAAATTATGATTAATTCTACATTACACCCTAAGCTGTAAATACTTACAGCCATTAGTGGTTACCCATTGAATGAGTAACATCAGACTAAGTTCCCTTGCTGGTATTATGTCTTCATTATATTTGTGCTGAATATTATCAGGAATAAAAGAAATAGTGAAGCATGTTTTGTGTCAATTTACAGAAGGAGAAAGTATGAGCCTTTTCTTCTTTTTCCATTTGGTGATACTGGACTTTGAACTTAGGACTTCTTGATTGCTAGGCAGGTACTGTACCTATGAGTCATGCCTCCACCTTTTTTATTGCACTGACTTTTTTGGTCTATCATGGGACTTGAACTCTGGGCCTGAGCACTGTCCCTCAGCTCTTCAGCTCAAGGCTAGCACTTGAGCCAGTACCACTTCCGGTTTTCTGGTGGTTTATTGGAGATAAGTCTTGAGGACTTTCCTGCTCGGGGTGGCTTTGAATGATGATCCTCAGATCTTAGCCTGCTGAATAGCTAGGATTATAGGTGTGAGCCACTGGGCCCAGCTGCACTGATTATTTTTGAGCTAGGATCTTGCTTCTTACTACCCTGGTGTGTCTGGATTATAGTCCTTCTATTTTACATTTCTAGTCATAGCTGGGATAACAGGTATGTACTGACATACTCAGCTTCTTCTGTTGAGATGGAGTCCCATGAACTTTCTGTCCAGCTCAGCCTCTAGAGTAGTATGCAGTTGGGATGACAGATGTGTGTCACCACATCTAACTTTGGGTTGAAACAGGACCCTCTTTTGAGGGATGGAGTAGGATGTGGTCTTGAGCTTCAATATTCCCAGTCTCAGCCTCCTAAGTAGCTGGGAT